GCGGTGTTTTGTCGTTGTCAATTTTGAGGCCCCGGGGTGTGAGCCACCGAGCCCCGGTGTTAGGCGCCCCTTGTTATGTAGCGCTGTTTGTGGGAAAAGTTCTGGTAGGACTGATGCTGGTAGCGGTGTGTTTTGCTGCGCTTGTGCTGGTGGGGGTGCGATGTGTTTGATCTTTGTGGAGAGTGGTGTTGGAGTGGGTGGGTATGATGGCTGGAAACAGGGTTGGCTGTTGTGAATGTGGTTGAAGGGAGGTTGCCGGTAGCAGCGCTGGTAGGACTGACGCTGATAGCAGTGTTGTTTGAGGAAGGTAGGCGCGGCTTGTTTTGGTAGGCGCTGATCGTAGCCAGTGCTGGTAGCTGTGTTGCTTGCGGAAATTGGTAGCGGTCCCAAATGATCTGCCGCTACCCCCTGCTGCAAAACGAAAACACTAAAAGCAAGAACAATCCAAAAGGATCCCTGTGATTCCAAGGGTTACACACACACACACGCCTCCCCGAAGGGAGGCATGTGTGACCTCCATCCTGCCCGGAAAGGAGGTGAGCACATGCGCACGCAAAAGGGACAGAAGAAAATGAAAAGGACGAGACAGACAAAGGTGTGTGTGGTTGCCGATGAAAAGGAACCAAGTGAAGAGGGACAACCGATGAGCCAAACCTCATTGTAACGAACCTGGGCCACCAAAACCTCGCTGCAAGTAGAGTACGCGCGCGTGTATGTGTACAAACTAAGGTCCGGACGATAGTGCGCGCAAGAGAAAGAAAGGATGAGGATGAAGAGACATGAAGACAGAAGGACATGAAAGAAAAGAAGGGGAAAAAACGTCTGTGGGGGCGGATGAAAGGGGAACCAAGTGAAAGGGGACAAACCGATGACAGTCCAAACCTCATTGAGAAACCTGTTGCAGAAGCCTAGTTTGCTTGTAAATACGCCACGCGCGAGGAAAGAGGAGGGAAGGGGAGGAGGAAAAGAGAAGGAGGGAGAGAAGGAAGCAAAGGTGTTCCCAGCTACAGCACAAGCGTCCAAGCACACACCAAAAAGGTAGGGCTCCCAGCTATGACGAAAGCATCCAGGGACGCCCAAGGAAGAGGGTGAAGAGAGGAAAAAGAGAAGGAAAGAAAGAGAGAGGGAGAGAAAGGGAGAGGAGAGAAAGGAAGGTGTTCCCAGCTACGAACAATCGTCCAGGGACACACCAAAGAAAGAAAGGGGAGATCCTGAGTATTACGTTCAGGAAAACCCCAGAAAGCAAAGAGAGAAAGGGGGAGGGAAGGGGGAGAAGGGGGGCTAAGTTCTCCACAGGTTCCAATGAACCTTGAACAAACTTCGGTCGCTGCGACCACGTACGGCTTGCCCGAGGGCTGCCACCTCTGACCGCTGTGGTCACGTAAAGGCATGAGCCAACTTGGAATTCCAAAATGAGACAAAAATCATCGTACGTACGGCCCAGGCCACCTTCGCCCGCTGTGGGCACTTACGTTTCCAAAGCAAGGGAAACAGCGACAAACCCCCGTTCAACAGGTCCACGGGAGGCACTCTGCGGGCTCATCCCGGACTCTCACTGGGAGAGACACACTTATGGATATGCGTACTGACTTGACAGCGGTGCCACACGCCGGCCTAGGTTAAAAAAACCTGAGTAAAACGAGGTGCAAAAGTTGGGGGTCATCGCTCTTAGGTTAGAGGCCATCGAAGACAGGTTGAGAGGCCATCGCTAGTAGGTTGGAAGGAAATCGAAAGAATCCCTATGACTACAAGGGTTACACACTTATGGAAATGCGTACTGACTATGAGGTTCTTGGCTTAGCCTCATGCCATTCAGAAAGGAAGGAAATCGCAGGTACGTCGGAGTGGCCAACTCCGATATCACCAGATCAAATGGGCATCTTCGTTGGTAGCGGTCCCAAATGATCTGCCGCTACCCCCTGCTGCAAAACGAAAACACTAAAAGCAAGAACAGTCCAAAAGGATCCCTGTGATTCCAAGGGTTACACACACAGAAGGACAGAGACTCATACACACACAGACATACAGAGACCCACACACTGCCTCAACTCACTCGACTTAACACTTCACACTGAACACTTAACAGATAACTCACACTCTGACTTCCTACGTGATGCAAAATGCTTTCGGGCCACTCGTCGTCTAGTTTATGTGTATACTGTGAGGACACGCTTGATGCATGGGCCTTCGCTTGGGCTTTCAGCCAGACTCTTGGAGTTCCCACAGTCCAGTTGACATGAAAGGCAAGCTAGTTGTTACCCAATATATACATATATATATATATTATATATATATACTTTAATCACTTCTCACCAGCCTAAGTTCCTATCGGTGCAGGGACATTGTTGCCCCCGTGGCCTTTAAAGAGTTCCGAAAGCATGATCGAAAGCGAAATAAAGGGGCCTATTCTTTCATCGAGCACATATGCGAGATGTTCTCAGCTGGGCACCCAGACCATACTCAGGGTTCGAGACCAGCCTTTACTGTCTTAGGACCTGATGCCTCATGCTGAAGAGAATTTGTTTTTGGACGTTTCGGGCATTCCATCTCAGACATCGAAACCAGTTTCATTTGAAGGCGGTTGCCAATCGAAAACATTGACTTGAATCAACGGCGTGTGCATTGTCCATGACAAAAATGCTAAGCAAAGACGACCCTGGCAGCCTCAGCCTCCACACCACTGAATCTTCACCTCGCACGTCATCTTCACTGAAGGCGTGCAGTTGTTTCAACGGGGCGCCCTTCAGGAGCCAAAACAGCTAAAGAAAAACCCACATGTAGCAGAGAATATTTGCTTGTCGGCTATGACTCATTGGAATTCTCAGCAACCAAACCGTCCAACTTCGGAACTTCAATGTTGGAAAGCTATGGGTGTTCATCCGACCGGGGCAGTAGAAGCTCCCTTCAAGAACCCTTTGCAGCATGGAAACGGTTCCGGTTCCGACCTTTCTTTTGCCTGCTTTTGTGGAACATGCATAGAACTTTGCGAGATCTTCTACCTACTTATATATAATTGACTTCATTGAGATCCCTGACCCAAGCCCTTGTGCAACTCTGCTCTAAATTTCCTCCAGACACACCCAGCCTCGAAGCCGGCCTGTTCCAAATGGGTCACCACCTCTGTTACAAGTCACCGGTGAAGAGTTTCTCAAAGGCACGTCAAAGAAAAAACAAGAGGAAACCAGGAGGTGTTTGGGTCTCTTCAATATGGCCCCTGCTAAAGGAGGTGTTACTAAAGGAGCCCAAACACCTTCTTTTCGTCGTGTTGTTTTTAGTGGTGGATCTGTTCCTGCACCCAAAGTTGGTTCGGACATCAGATCTCCAAAAGAGATGAGATCTGAGCGGGTTATGATCGAAAACCCACGTCAGGTACAATCCCTGGAAGGCCCTTGAAATTGAACCGGCAAATTAAACTCCTTCACCAGGTCTTGTCAATCAGCTCTGTCCTTATCAAAGTATGACTCATAATAGTGTGTGTGATACTGGTGGTGAAGTAGGTCCGTTGGAACAATAGAAAAGATTAAGATGTGTCCTTCCTGGTCTCGCTCCTTTGGAAATACCCTGAGAGGGAGGGAGGGGGGGAGGGAGGGAGGGAGGGAGAGGGAGAGGAAGGAAGGAAGGAATGAAGGAAGGCAGGCAGGCAGGAAGGCAGGAAGGAAGGAAGGAAGGCAGGCAGGGAGGGAGGGAGCGAGCGAGCGAGCGAGAGAAAGAGAGAGAGGGAGAGAGAGGGAGAGAGTAATAAATAACAAATAAATAAACAAATAGATTTAAAAAAAACTGTTGTTTCAAAACAGCCCCTACCAAGGACAGTCCAAAGCAAAGGGTTGATCTTCTTGAGTCTGGCCATCCCTGTGATTGCAGCATAGCGCGCTGCTCAAACTGGGGGCTCGCGCCCAGCCCATTGGGCATGAGGCATCAGCTCCAGGGAAAACATGCTCGTCCATGAAAAGGCCCCAGACCTTGGCGTGATCAGAGCCGGGAAGATTGTGCTGCACACAACCAATATACAACCCTCATCCCTTCCCAAGCAACATCCACAACTGCGGGAACCGTAGAAACCCTGCTTCTGGTTGTCAACAGCATGACAACCTCCCAGCACCAGTCAAACAACTGTGACTTTGCACAAAACTTGCTGATGGCTGGTGGGTGTCCATGGTTGGACAGCTGCGCAACACTAGTCTGATTACACGTTCACAATCTGTTCATTCCATATACTCTGTAGTTAAAGGCAAAACATTAGTTGTTTAGAGGCTTAAAGCGCCGTTGTCATGTTGGGGGCATGCACTCACTTTGGTGATGGGCATCCTCTGTTCCTGCCCATATCCACTTGGAGATGAGGCATCGTTGAAAATGTCGGTCAAGGATGATGGTGATTTGTGGGAACCTTGGACCAATTTCTGAATAATAGTGACAAAACACTTGATCCCAGAATGTTGTTGCCACATGTTGAAGCGTAGGTAGAAAAGGGTTTTCACCCACACCTCAAAGGAGCTAAAAAAACCAACACCCACACTGAGGAATCCCACCAGGTCCTCGTAGTGGTTGTAGCCTGTACTCAAAGGCAGCAATGCCGGAAACCCAAACTCATGAGGTGTTGCCATTGAAAGAGGGCTCCGCCTAGTAGCGCTACAATTTCTACAACCTAAATATTAAACTGAGGATAAAGCGGTATACCTTCCAAGATTCATCATCTGGTTCCTCAAGCGGATAAAGTCGTTGTACTTTTCGGGCGTATGTTCAAAAAAGGGTTTCCACCTTCGAAGACCCAAATCCTCCAGCCTCATGTGACACATGTATACATGGACATTCTCTATAGTCTTTTCACGTGCCCGCTCGTCCACCTGGCTCAAACACTGATGGCCACAAACTGGCACCACGATCCAACACAATACCTCTTACAAAAGAAGAGCTCCACATGAAGAAGCTTACTTAGAGTCCTCTTTGTCATGGAATGGATCCATCCGAGGATGTTGGAGGTAAATCCCACAACAGGACAGGCCTGTTGCAAACATAAACCTAACGAGTGCACTGATCTGTGCTGACGCTAGTGAAACCGGTGAAGCCTGAAACCATTGATCATTTTGCAAAATGACGCACCCCCAACCCCAGGACGGCACACAAACACCCCACACCTGTGGCGTAACCGCGAGGAAGGCCTGCTACCTTCGACAAAGGTATGCAAAAGGAAAAAAGGAACTCTGTTATGGGTCCTGTTCTTGGTCCGTTCCAGATGGATGGATAGATAGATAGATAGATAGATATATAGATAGATACATACCTGAGAAGTGACGGGACGAAAGCCAGCGCGCTGCTAGGTCAGTATGCGGTCTGCCCATGTTCTCTCTACGAGGTGGTGAAGTGGGGGAAGGGCGGCATGTGCAGCGTGACACGCATGGGCGGGGAGCCACGCAAGAAGATGCAAAAAGGTGATAGGCAAAAACAAATCAGGGTGAATGAGTCAGCCTAAAGTGATCTTTCGCGATGCATATTCTACATATATAATATAGAACACGTTTGCAAGGAACCATGGGTGGTGAAGAAATTTCGACCACTTTGATTCTTAAGCGAGCTGTAGGGTCGACCATTGACAGAGGCAGGGTTCAGGAACCCGCTGCGATTCAAAATGCTGCATCCAAAGAAACGACAAACGATACATGAGATACATGAGACATTCAAAGACTCCTGTCATGAATGGCTAAGGTGAAAGAGGCACACTCCAGGCAGATCGAGGTACAACTGGAAGGATTTTCAGACCTTGGTCTTCCTATGGACGACCGGTTGCAAAATGAAGTACGTCGCTGCAACGGGGCGCGCGATGTAAGCGGATGTCCTTTTGGAGGCTTGAGGTACACACGTGAAGCCAAGCAGGGGTTAAGTAGAGCGATAAAGGGAAACACATGGTTCCCTCAGGCTCTGGGTTCACTACCACACACACTTGGGATGAATGATCCGTGGAGCTAAGTTTCAGTGTTTCGTGGTGAGCATCAGCACTTTAGGTTGCTGCATTAGCCGAGTGCACTGATCCCTTAGTGCGAAAACAACGTATGAGACAGCGTTGAGCAATACTTAGTCATCAACGCAAAAGGTATTTTAAAAAAAAACGTCCCTTCTGGATGTCACGACCATTCTATCACTGTCTTCGTTGGGCAGTGAGTGATAGTGGTCCACTGCCCCCCTGCATTGGTGCTGCACACTCTGCGGTAAATATACTTATTGTAGTGGTGGAAAAGATCGTGTCACTAGGTACGGGAGGTGACACACACACATGCCCACGTACACTCTGACACTCTGACAATTGTATTCAGTTAACTCAGTTACCACGATGGGAAGGATGGCGAAGAACCGCAAGGTGAAAGGGTCAGCGCACTTTTATTGTTGAACAATCTGTTGTCATGTCTGCGGTGGCGAACGTCGACGCGGCTCAGCTGCAGTGCAAAAGGTGGTAGAAAAGGTTTGAGGGACGTAGCATGAAGAACCATGAACCAAAACGTGGAAGAGTAGGGTAACAGCTTG